GCTCTGTTCCTGTGCTACTGAGTGTAACTAACGCCCTCCCCCCTCTGCCCAGCGTAAAGCACAAAGCTCGCGTGCGGAGTGAAGCGGAAAAAAAGTGCGAGAGAGAGGCTGAGAGAAAGAAAAAAAAAAAAAAACCCACGTGACAACTCGCGATAAGGAGCCGGCTCGCGTCGTTCACGTCAAAGAGTCGGCTCTAAGAGCCATTTCGTTCGCGAACGACCCATCACTAGTGTGATGCATGCCTACAGGCAGTATGCAGTACCACATTCACATTTTAAAAGGCTGAGAAAAAAATCCTTAATTAGCCATAACATATGTCCTAGGCCGTAAAGAGGCTATGTGCGGACTCCCCCTATAGTTCAAGTATAGAAAAGCAGTTGGTGAATAACTGCAGCCGCTGGATGGATTAACTGTGGAGAGCAATCTGGGCCGGCCATGGTGCAAAGTTTTTGTGGCTGCTGTCTTTTCCATCATAAGGACTCCAGTCTCCGTCAGAGGAGGGATGCCCGGAAATGTTTATAAAGAGCAATTCATTAGCAGTTTAATAAAGCTGATAATAAATATTCATAATTTAAGACATTCTGTATACAATAATCCGAACTGCAGTTATAATACATATCAATACCAAGTACTTTAAACGGATTTTTGTCAATCTGGCAACCCAAAACCACGCGCTTTTAGAATTTAAATATTTATTTAGGATTTATTTTAGGATTTAAAATATAAATGACATTTATTTAGGATTAAAATTATTAAACTACTGATTACAGCTCGCATCCTCCACAGACACTAGCTACGTTTTATTTCATGTGAATTTAACGTTTTTCTTCATGACTTTGACTCGTGACTGGCTCTCTTTAGTCATTTGAGGAAAGACGTCTGAACCCAGGAATTATTAAAAAAAAAAACCCCAAAACGAACAAAAAACATGAAAAACAAAAAGAAACAAAAAGCCATGCAAATATTCTAATATAATTTCTTTTCTTTCTTTCTTTTTTCTTTTTTTCTTCTTTCTAACAGCCCTCATTGGTTCCAAACCCATATATGACTCACCTCTTTCTTTGATTCCGCACGTCCCTCATCCGCGTTCATTTTGAAAGCTGCCGTAAAATTACGCTCGCAGAAAACATTTACAAAGACTAAATTTTGCACTTGAATCCAAGTTCTGACAAAGTAGCAGCCTACTGTAAGGTGCAGCACATGACTTCGGCTCAGCGTAGAGGGCTGATTAAGAGGTTGAGGCACATTCCTGCTGCATGGTGAAGCTTGCTCTCGGGTAAAAGAGGGCTTGTTAACCCAAATATTAAAATAATATTCACTTTGTGTTACACACTTCACACTTGCAGCTTGTTTCAACTGTCATGTGACTTTTTTTTTTTAGTTTGGTTCATGTATTGTGGTCACGAGAAAAGAAAAACTAGTACAGTAAGTTCTCACTATATTCAAAGATGATAACACAAATTTATTGTTCAGGTAGCAGATGTCATCTGCTAATTTGTAGTTCCATAAAATTGGATTCTATTTTCCATGGATGACTGCCTCCTTGGTAAATACATATTTGGGTTTGAATTACTTTGGATAAAAGTGATAAAACAAATAATTTCTAAAACTTTGACACTGATTTTATTTCCAAGGTCGCTGCGCTCTTAAAGTTGTAAATCATTCAAAGAGTTCTGTAGCTTACCAGAAAAAAACAAAAAAACAAAAAACGTTTTAATCCCGTGAGAACTTCTGAGACTCTTAAAATGAAAATCTCAAATAGAGTTAACAGTGGATTTTTTTTTTTCAAAATGTACAACTCATCTTTAGTTTCAGTCTGTAGTGATGATTTGTTGATCAATGTTAAAACAGAGACAGGAAAAAAAGGAATACTCTCATGTGACACAGCTTAAAGCTTATTCAAATAAAACCCACTGAAGTTACTTGTAGTACAAAACAAATAAAAAAATGTTTGACCTTTGATAAATGTGGTCATTATACTGACCACATTTATGAAACAATAACGCAAAAGATCATTCGTTTTTACAATTTCGTTGTACATGTACAATGACAATAAAGGGCGATTCTATTCTATCTATTCAATGGACATTCTATTGCACTCTATACTACAGACGCAGCAGAGCACATCCTCCCTCAGGCTGATCTATTCAGGACACAAAAAACGTGTAATTTTTTACTGTTTATGAAAAATTTATGAAAAATTGTAAAACTTGTATGATGCTTAACAAGGAGGTGCAGCAGGTAGAGTTACAAACTAAAAGGTCAATGTTTGATCCCTGGGTCCTTCAGTCAGCTTGCTGAAGTATCCTACTGAACCCCAAACTGTCCCCACATTGGAGTGTGAATGTGTGCAAGGCATGGAATAAAGTGGTGTATGAATGTGAGCACTCTATCTGAGTGCTCAGTTAGGGTAGAAAAGTGTGATATAAGTACCAGTCCAATAAAAATGTAATTTTTAATGGACTGGTACTTATATCACAAGCTGGTAACATGACTGGATATAAAAAGGTCATACTTGGGAGCTCAGGTCCTTCGGGAACCTTTCACCAATCTTTCATGGCTAACACAAAGAAACAGAAAAACATTTGCACTCATAAACTTACAGACAATTCACTACCTGACCTAACATGTCTTTGGACTGGTGTAGGACACTGGAGAACCCGGAGAGAACCAATGCAGGCACAAGGAGAACACTGTGAAGACTTCACCAACAGCAAAGATGATGGTAAAAGTATAACTTCTAAGAATGTTTTAAAACATGAATTCGAGACAAAGTCAGCAAAGGGTGCAGTTTTTATTACATATGACTGGTGAGTCCACACGTGCAGCTTTAATTTAGATAATGGCTCAAAAATACCACTTCAAATAAGAGGATTAAATTTCACATTTCTACATTATTACTGTAAATAACATCAGATTAATCCAATAAGGTGGTTGATACATCATAAGCTCTTGAAGACTTCTTTAGACCGCAGATGGCAAACAATTTAAACCTAATGCATTGAATCGGATTGGACACATCACTGAAACATCACTGGGAATTGTCAGGCCAAGAAAGTCTTTAGTGAGGTTTTCTAACAGAGACGAAGCATAAACAGCCATATAGTGCATCAGAGGGTTTCTCATATGCATCTGCTGCACAGATGCATATGAGAAACAAGCAGACAAGTGCAAGAACAGGGCGCTGATCACAGGGCCCCACTCTCTGATGTGAGCGCTCTGTGAAACGCCCTTGCAAGTTAAAACTGCAGCGTCTGTGTGTGTCTTCACTCTTAGACTCTCAGCTGAAGAAGTGTCATTTAGAATAAATCTCTTGACCTCTTGACAGCACTTATTTCCAAACAGCTGATGCATTACACTTATAGAATAATATGTCTCTGTCAAAAGTGGAGACAATATCTTCTTCTCTCTCGTAAAAGGGAATACTGCATGAATTTTTAAAGCCATCATTTCATATTTTCAGTACACCATCTGAGTGGATGGAGAGGTACTGATATTTCTGGTCATGCCCGGGATCTTTCCACATCTTGGAAATAGTCTTTGTGCTTCTGCCATCCTCAAACAGATGCTGTATGTTTGGCAATTAGTTTGTTATCCACAGGTATGACTCTGGATAGAAACTTGCTTTTATAATTCATATTTTTCTGCTTTGACATTTAGTTAGAAAGTCTAACAGCTCACATTGAGGTTCATTTTCCAGCTTTATTTCTGGTACCTGATGATCAGCTACTGCTTTGTTTCAATTCTTCCTCTGCTGGTGAAATACAAGACCAGTTAGTATTGTAAATGGGTCAGACATTTAAGATTAAAGTATTTTTTTAAACATCATGGTTTGTTACATCAGCTTTGCTTCTCTTTAATGAGTTTCTCCTCACATACAAAGTCTTGAATAACCAGACCCTGTCACACCATTATCATTTTATCCTATCAGACTACAGGCTTACTTGTGGTTCCTAGAGTTTCACAAAATAGAACTCGAGGGAAATCCCTAACCTCATCACTTGACTTAAACTTTTTGATAAAGATAGGGGTGAATCAGGTGACCCTCAACCATTCCTTGGTTATGCTGCTATAAGGTCAGACTGCTTATACCTTTGATACACTGAGCATTTCTTCTTCACTTTTCATTCCCCAGGTGTTCATACACTACTGCATGCCATTGAATTGTGTCTTTTTCCCCCCATAATCTGTGTTTTGTCCTGTCTCCCCGTACCCTCTTTGTCTTTTCTCTTTACCTCAAACTGAACTGGTTCTGCAGGAGTTTTCTTCCTGCTAAAAGTGTGTTTTTTCTTTTTCATTCCGGCCAAGTGCTTCCTCATCAGGGGTTATCTGATTGTTGCTGTTTCCTCTCTAACCTTACATTTAAAGCACCTTGAGGCAATTATTGTTGTAATTTGGAGTTACACGAATAAAACGGATTTGAACTGTAATAGTTTTAATAATAGTTTTGTCAGTTATATTTTAGCCTATTTATAATAATTGACTTCTTAACGCCCACTTGTAGTACCATTCGGGGTCCACCAGGGGTCCGTGGCCCACATTTTGGGAGCAGTTCGGGAGGGGCGAGAGCTAATTGTAGACATTCAATATGGCAGCAATTTTGTCATATTTCTATGGACAAAGGTCAGTAATACAAACTAATCATTAAATAATATTTAAAGCCACGCAGGGCATACTAACACCTGTGTGTTCAGATGTCATGATGACGTCTGGCCGCAGGGGGAGCGCTTCTTCCGCACAGAACGGTGTTTGTGCAACCCTGAAACCCTTCCCCGTGTGTTGTTGGAAAGGGCAGAGAAGCGGGTTCCCCTGGCATCGTTAACCATGTCGGGTAGAAAGCCCCGGTCTGTGGCAAACCCTCTGGAGTCTGCGATCACCACACCGAGTGAGAGGATACTGAAGGAGTGCCACAATCTGTATGTGGACAGCGAAAACGGTAAACAGTCGATAATCTGGATTAAGGCTAAAGCAAAGTTAGGACCGCAAAGTAGAAACCAGCCCGCCCTGGCTGTGGTATTATGGTAACCGAGCTGTGCCACTGCTGAAGCCCCCGACTGAAGTTTATGTGGACTTAAAGGTGTAATGCTGCTTGTTTAGTGTATGTGTGTGTGCGTGTCAGCCTGCAGCAGCTGCTAGTGTGTGTCAAACACGTGACGTTGAACATCTCAGAGGCTCCTCTGCAGCCTCGCAGGGCAGTGCCCCATCTGACTGTATGCATTGATGCAAAATCACATACACATAGATACATAGAAACTTCATTGATCCCAGAAAGAGGAATTATTGTGTTACAGAAGCAGGATCAAGAATAAAAATAATGTAGTCTACAATAAATAAACAACATACCTCTCGGATGAGAGGTGAAACGTCTTCAAGCAACTTAAAGAAGTCCAGACGCTTTTCTTTGCAAGCTCTTTTGACTACGATGACCTGGATGACTGAGAACCTTCACAGACAACATAATTAAAGTGCCGCAGTCGCATAGTGACGGCCTTATGCTGTAAGATATTACAGTAAAAAAAAATCAACAATTTAATAA